TCGCTAAATGCATCGGAGATGACGGCCTCCAGGTTGGCTTCCAGCGAACCAGGGGATTCCGTATTGCGCAGTGCGTCCGCACTGTTTCGTCTGATCACCTACGTTTAGGGTTACTCAAACCTTCGGGCCGAAGTTCCCTAGATAGATTTCCGCACTCGCTCGCCTCTGAAGGCGGTCAGGTTCCTGTCGAGAGAACTCGAATTGAATCTAGCCGTGGCGACGAGGAACGTCCTTGGGCCAGAGGTTCTCCGGTTGCTATACGACTCATCTAAGGCGAGAGGAGAGAGTGCGCGGGCAAGCTCAATCCTCTTATGCTCATAAGGCCCGCGAGCCAAGAAAGCTGCGCGGGCAAAACCCTCTCCCCTCGTCTATCCTCAGGAGGGGGATGGAAAGAAAAGAGAAAGCGGGGGGAGGCCGAGACGGACTGCGGGGCCACCGCTCAAAGTGAAGTGCGCCGACTACGATGAGACACACTCCATGGGTCTGGAGGAGCGTTTCGCAGATCGTTCGAGCGTCCAATATGGCCCGGGTCATTCGAGGGTCCCATAGGGCCCAAGATGGCCCCAACCGGGCCCCAGATTGTCCAAAACGGCCACCAGAAAATACACAAAATACACAAAGATGGTATAATGGGATTTGCAAACACACCCTAACGAGCGTGTCGGGCGGACGGACCCAACGGGCGAGTCAGGCGGGCAGACGCGAATGGGCGGATCGGGCGACCGGGACGTTGAAGCGAGCGGGCGGCCTTCCAAATAAGCGAACGGGCGGACACTGACGGGCGGGTGTGTCGGGCGGGCGGGCCCTAACAGGCGGGATGGGCGGGCGGAGCTTACTTGGCGGGCCAGGAGGAAGAACCGTAACGGGCGGGCCAAGCGCAACATTCAAGCAGGCGGCGGGCGGACCCTAACGGGCGGGTCGGGTGGCCCAAACAGGCGGGCCGGGCGGGCGGGGCAATCGAGCAAACTAACAAATTGCCAAGAAAGCCTCACGCGAGAGCACGATACAGGATCCTAAATACGTTGCGAGGAAATCTCGTGCGACAGCGAAAGTCCTCGTCGTCGAAAGCGCAGCACCCGAGGAAATTGTCAGAGGGCCCGAGCGAGAGCGCTAATCATGGGTAACAGCAAAGAAACATCAAGCGAAAGCCTGATGCACTCCTAATTGCGAAGATTTATCCAGCGGGGGCTGGTGTTGTGGTACTCTGGAGCCAATAACGCAGGTCGAGCCTGAAGACTTCTCGTAATGAAACACACGTTAGCAAACGTGAGCCCCAAGCAGTGTTTCTAGCAATACATGATGTATATTACGCGTGGTGCAAAAAAAATGTGCAATGTACGTTGTGCGCACAATGCTGTGCAGTAAGAGTGGTGCGATCGATAAGGTACAGCACGTTGCACAATAAATGTGGAGCCATCTATGTGGTGCAACGTATGTGATACAATGTGATGTGCAATATGTGGTGTAGCGTCTGCGTTGTGTGGCCATCTATGTGGCGCAACCTATGTGAAACAAAAACGGTTCGCCATACACGTTGTGCAGTATGTGTTGTGCCATGTACCATATACAATATGTGTAGCTTAACACATGTAGAGCAACCCATGAGCTGCGAATTGTAAGCTATGTTGAGCAAGATGCATTGTGCGAAATATGCTGTAAAACCCATGTGGTGCAAACTACGATGTGCAGTATATGTAGTGCAACATGTCTGATGCAACATATAACCTATGAGTTGCATTATGTGTGGAGCAATATGTATACACATATACAGATATATGTGTACGTGTGATGCAGTTTCCGTTGTGCAGTCCATGGGGTACCCAAGTCGGTGTGCCATATTTGTGTTGCAATATATGTTGTGCAACCTATGTAGTGCAGTACGTGTGGTTGTGTTGTCTATGGTGTGCGCAATATGTTGTGCAATGCATGCGATGCAGACCACGTGTTGCAATATACGTTGTGGAAGTTATATGGTGCAATTAATGTACGTCCGCAGTGAGTTGTCAGCCCCGCTGCTCGCGCAAACCTCCCACCCACCCACCCGTAACCTGGTTTGCAGAGCCCATGCCGCGGCGATTACGATGAGTGCTTGGCGTTGGCTCGTTGCGGCCGCGCTAGCCCGCGCATGCTCGCGCGAGAAGCGGTCAATTAATTTGGTGCGGCCGACGCGGCCGCGGTGGCGCTGACTGCTGGGCACTTCCCAACGGGCACTTCAGTGCGAGTCGGCGACTTGGGCGGGCGCGGTATCATGGCAATGTCAGCACTGGTAGACACGATGATGATAGACGTGATGCTGGTGACGATGATGATTTCGACATGCGGCGTGAGAGGCCCGTTTGGACGAAGTTGGACTTCCCTAGCATTCGCGGGAGCGCCAGCGCAGGCATTTTGGAAAATGAACGTTGCAAAACAATAGTTTCTATGTGTGTTCGGGACACCCGATTTTGAACTCCCTACGAGACCTAAGGTTTTTGTGAAGCATTTCCGCATGCGCGCGACGACACGCGCGCGCGCACTTCGTCCCGTTTTGTGCAAGGGATTCTTGCGACAGCACGCGCGCAAGGGGGTTTGAACGAATTCGACATGCGCGCGCGAGAGGCACGTTTGGTACCACTTGATGGACATGTTAAAAGACCTACGGTCCCCCTGAAAGTCTGCAACCACGCGAGCGCAGGCTTGGTTTGAAAAGTCGTGTTGCGAAGCCATGCGATGTTGTATGTTTCTGGCCGGCGCACTCAATTTTGAAATCCCTGCGAAACGTAAGGATCTGAAAAGATTCCAGCATGCGCGCGCGACGACACGCGCGTGCACTTCGTCCAACGTGTTGCAAAAGATTATTGAAAACCGATGGTTGGTGATAAACGAATGTGCGCGCAATTGATTTTCTTGCAAAAGATAAGAACGAGAGGGGCGATATCTGCTTGGCTGGGATTGCACGGGCTCATACTTAGGGAGGACAAGTGTGCAGGATAATAAACCAAATACAACATTTTAAAAGGGACCACTAAGCGTGGGGAGCGTGGTTGTACAATATATATATGTGTGTGTGGTGCAATCGATGATGTGCAATATAACTGCGTGGTGCAATCTATACTGTGGGCGATCAAAATGCGCGCCGCAAGCGCTGTTGCTTTGTTCGTGCAGTCTACGTGGAGCAATCCAACGGTGGCGACGGGCGACGACGAGGCGGCGAGGGGGCGGCGACGGGGCGGCGACGGCGGCCACACAGCCGCCAGACCGAAGACACAGCCGAGACTACGGGCGGCAACGTGCTGGCGACGGGGCGGCGGGGCAGCCACGTAGCCGCCAGACCGAAAACACGGCGCAACTCCTTAGAACAAGCATTGTTTGGGGAACAGGGTGCGGGCCCCAAGGGGAGCACGTAAGCTTCAAAAAACAATGCGGACAGAGGGAACCAACAATGAAAACGTAGCACCCCACCCTTGCGGATTAGAGGGAGGAGGCGGCAGCAAGGCCATGCGTGTGCAGTTCCCCCACGCGCTGCCCCCATGTCTAGTTGCCAGGTGTCGCCCCAAACTGTAGCCCCCAAGTGTAGTTCCCAAGTGTCGCTCCCATGTGTAGCACCCAAATGTAGCCCCCAAGTGTGCAGCCCCCAAACGTAGCGCCCAAATGTAACCCTCATGTGTCGCCCTCAAGTGTCGGTCCCGTGTGCAACCCCTAAGTGCAACCCCCAAACGTAGCCCCCAAGTGTAGCCGCAAAGTGCAGCCCCCATGCGTCGCCCTCAACTGTTGCTCCCGCGTGTAGCCCCCGAGTGGAGCTCCCAAGGGCAGCCCCCAAGTGTAGCCCCCGAATGTAGCCCCAATATGCCGCCCCAAAGTGCCGCCCCCAAAGCCGACCCCTCTATCCCGCCACGCGCGCAAAGGAGGAAACTAAGACAGCTCGGGCCCCCACTCTCATTGTTCAGCAGTGAGAGCTCAACAATGTTTCCCGTCGCGGCGCGGCCGAGGCGATCCGTTCGCGCGTCGAGCAAATCTGGGCTGCGGAGTTGAATGAGAGCTCAACAACACTTTCTGCGTCGGCGGCTAGGCCGAGGGTGACTGCGCTGGTGATGAATGGCATGAATGGGGGCACCGTTGGGCCGAATTGTGGCACCATGCAGGAGAAGGAGGCAGGAGGGACGCGGCTGAAGGAAAATCAGGATATGGGCGGGCGGTCCAGGGGGCAGAACGCTCCCAGAGCGTGTGGCGTGGCCGGCCCCGCCGCTCAGCGCGCGGCGGTTGCTGCGTCAGCGCCCGGGGGCGGCGGGGCCCAGCACGGAATGAAACCGAGCTCAACAACACTTTTTTTGGTCGCGGCCGCGGGCGAAAGCGCACACGGCGAGTCGTAAGTCCGGGGCGCGGGCCTACTAATTGACAACAGCAAACTAAAGCCGACAACCTGCGAGCTCAACAACACCCACCGACAAAAAACAAACAAACTGCCAAACAGGAGAGCAACACATCACGACACAACACAAACCACCTCGTCAGGGATGCGGGCGGCGGCCCCCATGATGCGTCGCGGCCGCTGGGCCGCGTGCTGGGCCGGAAGCCCAGGCCGTAAAGCTGCGAGGCCTCCTTCCCGGCCTCCTTCTCGAGCTGAACCTGCTCGGGCGGCGCCAATCAGTGACCTGCTCCTCCTCAACGTCCTCGACGTCATCCTCCTGCTCGCTTTTCCTTCTCCTCCACCTCCTCCTCCTCCTCCTCCTCCTCCTCCTCCTCCTCATCATCATCATCATCATCATCCTCCTCCTTCTCGTCCTCCTGCTCCTCCTCATCCTCCTCCTCCTCCTCCTCCTCCTCCTCCTCCTCCTCACCTCCACCTCCTCCCCCTCCTCCCTCCTCCTCCTCCTCCCCTCCTCCTCCTCCTCCCATCATCATCATCATCATCATCATCATCATCATCATCATATCATCATCATCATACATCATCATCATCATCATCATTCATTCATCATCATCATCCTCCTCATCCTCATCCTCATCCTCCTCATCCTCATCTTCGTCCCTATCCCTCCATCATCATAATCATCCTCATCATCATCATCATCATCATCATCAATCATCAAAACCTCATCAGCATTCAGCATCATCATCATTCATCATCATCATCATCATCATCGTCATCATCATCATTCATCATCATCATCACCAATCAATCATCGCTCAGCATCATCATCATCATCAACATCATCATCATCATCATCATAATCATCATCATCATCGTCATCATCAGCATCCCTCCTCCTCCTCCTCTTCCTCCTCCTCCTCCTTTCCTTCTCCTCCTTATTCCTCCACTCGTCCTCCTCATTGTTCCTCCTCACACCTCCTCCTCCTCCTCTCCTCCTCCTCCCTCCTCCTATTCCCCTCTTCCTCCCCCTCCTCCTACTCCCCCTCCTCCTCTCCTCCTCCTACTCCTCCTCCTCCCCTATCATCCTCCCGTTCATCATCATCATCAGCATCATCATTCATCATCATCATCATCATCATCATCATCATCATCTCATCATCATCATCATCATCATCATCATCATCATCATCATCAGCATCATCATCATCATCATCATCATCATCATCATCATCATCATCATCGTCATCATCAGCATGATCATCATCATCATCATCATCGTCATCATCATCATCATCATCATCAGCATCATCGTCATCATCATCATCATCAGTATCAGCATAATCATCATCCTCATCATCATCATCATCAACAGCTTCATCATCAGCATCATCATCAGCATCATCAACATCGTCATGATCATCAGCATCATCATTCGCAGCATCATCAGCGGCATCATCAGCAGCAGCACTATCGTCATCATCATCATCATCACCAACACCAGAATCATCATCATCAGAATCAACATCAGCATCATCATCATCATCAGCATCAGCATAACCATCATTATCAGCATCATCATCAGCAGCAGCATCAACATCATCATCATCGTCAGCGTCATCATCATCAGCAGCATCAGCAGCATCATCATGAGCATCAGCATCATCATCGTCATCATCATCACCATCATCATCATCAGCACCATCATCAGCATCAGCATCATCATCACCACTATCATCTTCAGCAGCAGCAGCAACATCATCATCAGCATCATCACCATCATCATCAGCAGCAGCGACATGGTCCCACTACTCCACCTTCACGACGACAACCTCCGCCTCCTCTCCTCCTCATCCTCTTCCTGCTCCTCTGCCGCCGCTGCTGCCTCCGCCTGCTCCTCTTCGTCCACCTCCCTCCTGCTTCTCCTCCTCCTCCTCCACCACCACCTCCTTCTCCTCCTCCCTCTTCCTCCTCCTCCTCCTCGTCCTCCTCCTCCTTCTCCTATTCATCATCATCCTCATCCTCATCCTTGTCCTTGAACATAACTCCTCCCTGTCGCACCCCGAGGCCGGTCGAAAAGGCGGGCCGGGCGTTCCGCCTGAGTCTTCCTCACCGTTTCTGATCCTGAAGTTTGAAAATGGGCAGCAGATTCACACATGCAGAGCGGGTCGCTTCCAAAATGTGGCTCTCGCCTTGGCGCCGCACACACTCGTCTTAAACAGTACAAAAGTTTCACGGATTCAGGACGGGTCGTTTTCAAAATGTTGCCATCGCTTTTAGCGCGAGCACATTCGTCTTAAAAAATTCCATGAGATTCACGGATTGAGGTCGGGTCGTTTCCAAAATGTGGCTCTCGCATCAGCACCTCGCACACTCGTCTTTTAAAAAAATCACAGAATCTTCACAGATTGAGGGCAGGTGGCTTTCAAAATGAGGCTCTGGCCTCAGCGCCGCGCATACTCGTCTTCAAAAACTGTAGGAGTTTCACTGATTGAGGGCGGTTCATTTTCAAAATATGGCTCTCGCCTTAACGCCGCGCACATTTGTTTAAAAATGCAACCAGTTTCACGGGTTCGCGTGGCTAACGTACCAAGACGTAACAGCTACATTTACTCGCAGACCTGAAGTCCCAAGAACGGCGTTCTGGCACGATTCAGGAACGTCACGCCGCAACAGTCAGGTTGATTCGTGGCGTTGGAGTCCCGAGGACGGTGTTTTGGCACGCTTCGGGATCTTCAAACGGATGTCTCCCAACGGGCCACTTCCCTCAGTGGAAATGAACCCTTGTTGGTGCCTATGAAGACGGAGCTTAGAGGGAGGGTGTGTTCCGACATCGTTGATGAGCCTTGGGTTTACACTGGTCCTCCTCCTCATCATCATCATCATCATCATCCTCCTCCCTTCCTCCTGGCTTTCGTCCGCGTCCCCCACCACCTGCAATCCCACCAGCCCTTTGAGGCGTACGTAGTGGCTAGGGCGACTCCTCTGCCGACCGCGCTGTTCCCCTTTGGACCCTTCCCCTGGGCCTGGACGGGAGTCCCCGGAGGTCCCCGGCGGTCTCTGGAGGTCCCCAAGAGCCTCCCAGGCCTCCAAAGCCCCAAAGAGGACGAGGAAACATCCAAGAGCCTCGATCCTCGATCCTCCCGCCCTGG